TCCTCGGTTCTGACGAAGAAAAAATTATGCCAGAACTGCCGTCTCGCCTTATCATCCATCTTCACCACCAGGCACTAGAACCCTCGATGGCTAAGGTTTAACATTGTCCCCCTATAGAAACTAGGGGCGGAGAGATGCATCAAATGTCGAAGGCTGATCTCGACCCTGGCCAATTTCGTGAACTTAGTAAATATCCTAATGAGCGTGTGTATATATGGCGCGAGCTGAGCCAGACAAACGTCGTAGAAACGGCAGAACTCCTCCGTCAAGGGGAAAAGGGGAAGAGTGTAGCCAACATGAAAGGGGTAGGCGTAGAACGCACAATACCCAGGGCAGTGGACTTGTACCACGTCCTGCCATGCAGGGACCAACTCTATGTGAGCGGAAATATCATATTTAGCCCTAAGCTCTAATAAATCGGCCTCTTTCATCGCCGACTCAGAGATCTCGAGCTTAGCCTCAAGCGCCTTTGTAAAGTTAGACCTGACTTTATCACCACGAGAATTATCTCCTCCACCATGGAAAAGTTCTCATCCTCCATGGCCACAGAGACGCCCTCTGCGTGAAGAGGCAAGACCATCGCCAGGGGAACCAGGTCATTTCCCTCACTAGGACTAGAAGATAATTTAACCATCGTTATGAAGAAATAGAGGGTATTCGAATAACGAAACGTTAAACGCAAAGAGGATCTCTAGAGCAGGGAAGGAGGATACATAACAACGGAATAGGAAGAAAGAGGCACAAGGTTTCGATATGGAAAATATGTAAAACACGAGTATGTGCCCGCACATCCCTATTTATAAGAATTCGGGCATCGAAACCAAGAAATTATGCCATCATTACCTAGCATAGATATCGAAGCGGCAAATCCAATCAACAGACGCACGCGAAACAATGCAAAGCATCAGAAAAATGCACCTTAATGACGCATAATGTCATGACGTCACTTTGATCCAGAAACGATGCAACCCCAAAAGTTGCGGCTCACGAAAGGCCATGTCGCCATCTCGTCCCATCTTCTCGACTATGGCAAACAGAATCCGCTCATCATGGTCGTCCGAGGCCTGCCTCAATAAGTAGATGGACTAACTATATAGGTCAAAATCTGTCCTAAAATATTTAGGGCAATATAGCACTAAGGAACGGGTCAGTCGAGGTCGACCAGGAAGCAACGAGATTTTTGGTCGAGATGTCAACAACGGGCGAGATCGAACACCATTAGCAAAGTTGTAACGGCTAATTTTTAAAATGGGATATTAAAGAGAATATTTTAGTGGATATTCTCTGCCCTTGTACTATTAAGGTGTGTTAGGGGTATACCTCATATATATAGAAAAAGAGACAGTGATGTAGGACAGGCAATATTCGTTTGATAAGAACAAACTTTTGATAAAAGATTCTCTCTCTCTTTCTCTCATAAAGATACAAACATTACATTTTCATGAAGATTCTTATTGATATTATTTGACACTTTTCCATCAGATCAGAAAATAATCCGAACATTCTAGGATTTGTCTGTCACTCATCATTGTTAGGAGGAACAATCATCTAGTTCATCCTTTATTGGGTGAACCACTTCTCCTATTTACTTAAATGTCATTTGTTGTCAATCTACCTCTAGATATGTCTAACGTTAGTCACGTTTTCGGAATTCACATCTAGAGATATTATTATTAACTAAGTTTAACTCATTATTATATAAATTCAATTGTTTTAGCCGAAAGTTATTCTTTTTGGTCGAACAATTCTAACACATTATACTTTCCTATTTCAAGGGGTCTAACAAGAAATATTGAGTTTTAGAGGAAATTAATGATATAGAATCATACTCCAAGGAAATACACACCCACAATTAGTGGTCAATTAAATAACACTAGAGAAAATTAATAAAATGGAAGGAAGATGAATAACAATTAAGGTTTGAAAGATAATGGTAATTAATGAGTGCTAGCTTCCAAATCGTTGCCAAGAACCATGAACCGTTGGAACGGGTCCGAGGTGGGCACAGTAGACACAAGGGATGTTGTTACACAAATAGGTGAAGTCATTCTCAACAGGGAACATGGATTCCAATAGCTCCTAAGACCCAAACGGGGTTTCACAATCTGTGTCCCCCGCCAACCCCAGTGCCACTCTCCCCCACTATCCACTAACTCTGAGCCAATGAATAATAATGTGATGAGAAAAGAGACGAGGAAAAAGACCAGAAATAGCTAGTGGTGGATGCAGCATAGAATTAACGGATTTAACTGAACCTAATATTTTTTCTACGAAGTATGTAAATATATACATGTAAAAATTATAAATTTTCTTAAAATTATTAAATTTTGAACCCTTAAAAAAACTAGTCCAATAGTATATAGAAAGCTAAAAGATAAACCTATCAAATTTAAATTTTGAATTCGAGCATGATAAAGAGCCAGCCAGCCAGCATCCAGCATAATGATATATGAACAAAGTAAGCTCACATGCAAGGCAAGTAGGAAAGTACTCGGCGGCCCTTTCCTAGTTTTTGTCCAACTATACTGTTGAGTTGTGAGTGAATGAACAATTAAGATCTGTCCCATGACATGGAGTGTTGCAGTCACTGCTCCTTTCCAGGTTCTTCTGGCATTTATAATTAATTGAGTTTCGCTGCTGACTGCATATAGTGCAGGTCCTCTTCTCTCTGGTCTGATTGTTACTGCACCTGCTAATTTTATGAGCAGATATTCTGCTCTTTGTCGTTTCTAACTCTAAATAATCATTTCGTACAACAAGAACAACAATTACGCCTCAAATTTAAATAATTTACGTCTAAATAATACTACGACGCCAAAACTACTTAACAAGTAGCAATCTAACTAGACCAAATTACCTACTACAATTCTCGATTATACATGCTGCTTAATTAGCAGTGACTTCATTTTTTGCCCCTTTCCCTTCCACGTTGATTTAACCTTAATAATCTTGTCTTTTTTTCTTCTTCAAGAGTTGCATTGTCCATTGGTAGTTGACTAGTTGGTATATATCTTTGAGAAACATGTATAGTTTTTCCTACATTGTGAATTTTAAAAGGTCAATCGTCTTTCAAGGCCGACTGTGCAACATATATGGTCAAGCCGCCATGCTTATAAAATGTGGGTGGGAAGGAGGATTTTGAGTTCATTGATGTGACACATACATAGTTGAGAGTATAATAATTTTAACAATTCGTACTATTTAACTAATCATAGCATAATAAGTACTATTACTCTATTTTGTAGGTTATTGTCATGCTTGCTATAAAAAGTCACCAACCTGAACTAAACCTAATGGTTCTATAAATTACTACCTCCGTTTCAATTTAGATGAGCTAGTTTGACTCGGCACAGAATTTAAGGAAAAAAAAGATTTTTGAAATGTGGTCTTAAAAATTTAATAAGTAAAAGTTTTGTGGGGTCATGGCATTTGTGTGGTTATAAAAGCTTCTCATTAAGGGTAAAATGGGTAAAATGAAGAGTTTAAAGTTGAATTATTTCCAAATTTAAAAATGTGTATTTATTTTGGAACATACTAAAAAGAAAAGTAACTCATCTAATTTGAAACGGATAGAGTATACATTACCATTGCACAAAACTTGTATTTTTTTAAATATTGTATTAATATTAAGTTTTTACTTTTTCTGCATGATTCAAACTACGTACTCTTATAACATGTGAGGGGAAGTATATTGCCAGCTTAACTTATCGTAATCGTGACAAGTATTATGCGTTTGGGAGAGTATAGGATGATTCCATTGACAATTTTATTTGTAAAGACAGTCTAAAAAGAGGATAATAAAAAAAAATTTATGAAAGAAGCAGCTACATACAATGTACGTATAAATTACCAAACCGAAAGGTAGAGAGCGAAAGCGAGCAGAAACATCATGTTTGGAAAAACAAAGAAGTGAGTACGTTAATTGTTTCTTCCTTTGGCCACGTACACAAATGACACACACGGTATCCAGTCTGTTGACAGGTTGGGGGGTCCGTTGCAACGTTCAATTGAAAAGCTCTTTACATTTAATTTTTACATTTCAAATCAGACGCATGCGGGACGACGTTAATTTGTACCTGCTAAAAATCCCATGTGTATTCCTGCACGAGGTCACCGTCTCACTCTCTCAACTTCCCAACACCTTCTTCCTTTAATATTTTTTTTCTTCGCATCGAGGATGGAGTATTCAGAATTGATGTAATCTTATTATGTGTATATATCTTAATTTTTTTGTATATTTATATGTATCTATATATATATNTGCTATACACGAAGCTACACTTTTGTAAGGGTGGTCACTTCGTCGGAAAATTATACTGTGTATATAAGTAAAATATTAGGTTTTAGATGTATATAACATATATTGAACGCCCTTTGTCGGATTTTTTTTATTTCTTACAAATTTGAACACCCTTGGAGAAATTCTTGTATTCGCCGTTATAAATGACCTATACCGTGAAGTGTGAACCACTCCACTATTCATGTTTACATATACTTTGTACATACAGAGTATTATATATTGCTTTTGCTGCTAACTAAATAAGAATATACGACAGTATATATGTAGCCATGTGAGTATATTTCATTGATTTGCTCCTCTGTATTTTGCATGCGCTAGTGACTAGAATTTCATGTACTCTCATATATACTTTAGTTTATGAAGGAAGACCTTTCGCGGGATCGCGAATATAAATATCGATGCTACATTTTCTTGGCATTGATTAGTTTTAATTAAGTACTAGGCATGCAGAAGTCTCGAATTCGAGTCCTACGAATGAAAGCGAATCCGAATTAATCGGGACGCCAAAGAAGATATGCATGAACCAAAAAAAAAAAAAATACTAGGCACATGTTTTTTTTGTTAGTACTTAGACATGACATGTTTTTTTGTTAGTGCTTAGGCATGACATGTATTAAGAGAGTCATGAAGCTGCTAACTGAATACATGTCTTGATAATTGACTCTCTTACATTTAATTTGATGTATCCAGTAACAAAAGGGAACAAAAAATTGATTCATTTCTAATCGCAGAACATCCTTAGTCAAAGTTTAACATGCACTAAGTACTAACACAGGAGATACAAATTACTAATAGTAGTAACATAACAAGAGAGGAAATATAGTACTCTAGTAAGTTTTTACAGTGTATTATTTTCCTTTGCCCTTCCAAATACTTTTCCTTACCTTTCCACCATTGGAGGGAACTTTAGCTCCTTTTGCTGAAAACACAGACTCTTCTTTGTCTTGATTCTTAATACCATTCTTTGTGTTAGCTTTGTTGTTGGAGCAACCTTTTCCATTACCCTTTTCCTTTGGATTCACATAACGAGCACCGGTAGTACTCTTTGCATTTCTAACAAAGTGCTCTCTCATGTGACTTGGGCCAGAAGAGGCATCAGAAGCCATAGAATCATCAGTGTCGTCATCTTCTTCTTGATTTCTTTCATTCTTGTTGTCTCCTACATCATCTTCTTCCTCAAAATCCGCTACGTTCAGCTTATCATCTTCAGTACTATTCGAAGGAGAGCCAATGTACATTGTCCAGCCAGATTCACTGCTGTGACATTCTTCCTCCTCATTAAAATTTTGAGAAGCTGGCTTCATTACGCCACTGCTAAAAGCAGAATTAATATTGAAATGATAATAAACTCAAAAGAGTTACTTAGAAAGAACTAATACTAAAAGACAGAAAAGTGGAGTTTGGCTATATGTTAAAAGGCAAAAGAAAGCTGAATCAAAACACCTATATGTGTAAACCAAATATGCGTTTCTTTTCTGCTCTGGACCAATACAGCTCTCTCACGCACAAACAACAAACATGCCCAATCTTATAGTACTTCTGAAAGCAACCTCAAAACCCGATATTTATTTCTATTCTACTCTGTTTTTTTTTTTTTTTTTTTTTTTTTTTTTTTTTGAAAATCTTGGATTAAATTTCACCACCTGGATATGTACATCGCCATAACTTTACATCGACAGAGGGACAGGTAGAAGCTGTCAAAGATGATAGAGAAACTTGATTTTTTTACAAAAGGCACAAAATACGACCCTTGAGTAAATACCAAAGGACAGAATTTGGTTTGCTCTATCACTTAGGTTCGAAGATGCATATCTTTACTTCTCTCTGTATTCTGAACGTGACTCAGCTGCTTTGAATGCAATATGCAGAGGAGAAGTTGTGCACAGCCTATATGCTATACTCTTAAAAATATATACTCCACTGCTTACTATTTTTTGTTCTTAATGAGGCTAGAAAAGGACCTCTCTCATTTATTTTCCACTACTTGATTTCTATGTCATGTCAAATAAAAACAAGAGGTTGGGAGTAAATAAATTATGCAGCTTTTTCTTCTGTGAAAAAATGAAGAGAAGCCAACTGGAGTTGTCTTGTAGTAGTAGTCTTCTCAAGCAGTTAAGTTCATCTTTTATTATTGCTTTTTCCCCCTGTTTTTCTGGCTAGTATATATAAGTATACGAGATATACCCATTGTTCCCCTACAACCTATTAAAATGTTCAGTATTCGAAATTCACTAGCTGGACTAATCCAGATTCACATCGTGTAGGGCACACTAATTAGGGGTTGTTTGGTATAATGATGGGATATTTCTTTTATATGGGATAATTAATCCCGCTATTTTAGCGTAAAAATTATCCAAGAATTAGTTAATACCCGAACCAAATATATGATAAAGTTAATTCCAAATTTTATCCCGGGATTATACCAAACGAAAGGGGGAAAATACTCCCTACCACAGTTTCTCCATTCGTAGGGTGCCAGTGTAATCCGATTGTTTAAGAATGGAAGGATTCCATTCATCCCACTATGGTCGTACAATGTTTCACTCATGATTAGTAATTGTGAAGCTAAAACCGTTTACTTTCCATTTTGTCACACAAGTACTATATACTAATAATAGTACTGTCATTGTCAAATTGTGATCTGGAATATAGTTAGATGTAGAATTTAGGATAGTTACTAATTATGAAAGTTTTGTAAGCATTCATATCAGTTTCTAGGCTTATTAATGGGGGGTCATTTTTCCTAGATTTTAAGGGAAGGAGCAGAAGAGTTTTAACCAGTTGAGGATATAGGGACATGCCTTGCTTTCAAATGCCTTTTTAGTTGTTCCTCACTTTGTAATCCTAAGGCATGGCTTATTATAAGGAAATGCTAGACAGGCAAGGCCCATGTATTATTCTTGCTGTTTGTCCTTTTGGGAGATCATATCCTTGTATTGCACTTGTCTTGGGCTCCATGTGATGAAGTGAAGATGTTCTTTTCCAAATTCTTTTTGATAATAGGACAAATTTCCCAAGGCTGGAAAGATCCAATCTAATTAGACACTTCCCCCTTCTTTTTGCCTTTGCATTTAAATGTGGTGCTGAGTGCCAGAGTATAATGTCGAATAATAAGATAATTCTTTGTATGTATTCAAGTCAAACTTAGATATGACAAATCTTTGTCGTTCACACTAGAAAGGTTGTAATTTCCTTTAAATTTATTTAATTCTCTAATTTACTCTTTTGATATATACTTTATCATAATTGTACTTTAATATCCTGGTTTATAGGTTCGACCACCATGAAATAGAGAATTATTATTACAGAATTACAGTTTCTCTGATAGAGCTGAAAACTGTTTCATGAACAAACAACAATAACAACAAACTCAGTGAATTCTCATGAGTGGGGTCTAGGAAAGGTAGAATGCACGCAGCCTTACCCCTACCCTCGAAGGAAAGAGAGGTTATTTCCGATGAAAACTGTTTCATGAACGTCACCTTAATTTCTGCTAATTTATTGAACTCTTAATTAATGCATTCATTGAACATATGCATAGTTGTAAAGTCCACTGAAATTTTGGCATATCATAAAAAAAGAAACCATTCATAACTGTAAACCTCTTTGGCTAATTACCAGAAAGGAACATGTCACAAGGAGAAAAAGAAAGAAAAAGCAACCCCAGTGACGTTGTGCATTGGTTGGAGAATTTCTTGGTAGGAAACGTTTTACCCCTTAGTCGACCTACTAATCTGAATTAGTTGAGCCAGTAGATTCTTTAACAAAACAAAACAAAAAAAGAACTAAAAGAGGAACAGCTGCTATACTAGACTTGTTGTGCAGCATGTGGAGAATAAGTAATAGGCTTAGCAAAATACAAAGTTTTATCATTTCCAGAAAAGACTACCACAATTTTAGGCTCCGGATCTAGGGGATGTAGTGAATGCCTTTTCTTTTCCTCATTATTATCTGTGTCTATCAAATGCTCCGATGAAGGGGAATTTTGGCGACAGCAAAAGAGATAGATTAATGCAAATGCAATGGTAGCGAAAACGACGCCAAGACCACAATACAGGTATGGAACTGGTGAGTTCCATTGCCAAAATTCAGCAGAAGTGCCTGTTGCCTTCATTCTAGCTTTCCCTTTGTTTTAATGTGTTATGTTTGCTTATATTTTGCATGAAATCAGATAAATGAAAGGCTTTTATAGACACACTTGACGATTAACTAATTGTGGATATTGCACGTATTTGGATGATAAGATTCTCCCCCCTGATATATTCCCCCAATCTCACAAGATTTAACTGCTATCAGAAAAAAGAAGAATCATATTTAAATTAAAATTTAATTTTTTAAAAAAAAGACTTCTTTTGGAAATATTGAAAGGGAAGATATCTTATTGGGAAGTTACATACTGCTCAAATGATTCTGTTATCAGAATTCAATCTAGTTAGTCATGTGATACAATTCTCGAATTTAATGGTGAAGTTAACGGATTAGGTTCCGATTCTCTAACCTAGCAATAGGGAAAAAGATGCATCACTAAAAAGGAAAAAAAGATTCTATTATTAGGAAACAAATGATGAATATATGTATGAATAACTATAGTGCCTAATATTCTCATGCCGTTTAATATATTGTTCTATGAGAATTGGAATATTCTCTTTACCTTTATTTAACCCTGAGAATTTCTAGTTCCTTTAATGACTACATACTGTACTAATTAGTTACGTTGTTGTCATTCATACTTTTGTTGAACTTATCCATTAGAGAGTATATTTAAATCCAAACAGTGTGCTTACAAGTTGAGGAATAGAAGATTCCTGCAATTTAAAATCTCATTTTATAAAGCAAAATGAATAGACTTCGTTCTAAAAAAGTAAAAGAACTAGATGGAGAACAGAATCTGCAAATAGCGTCTTACTTTCACATTAATTATGTACCAGTAATGTTAAGCCAGTAATGACCAGGTTACAAAAACATAGCGATAAGTATCAAAGACAAATGATTTGACTAATGATTTTAGTGCCAACTTATAATTATCTACAAGAGAAAAAAAATAAAAAATAAGAGATTAGAAAAGCCATGCTTAGTCTTCTTGAGTGGTAACCAGAAGAATATAATAATAACAACAACAATGTCTCAATCCCAAGCTAGTTAGAGTTAGAATAAATATATATGAATCATCATAATATGTATAGTCAGGACTCATGGTAATTTGACTAGTTTTGCACTACATGTCAACCTACTGCTATCCTCCTCTTTTATTCTGGCTGGGGACCGATAAAGTAAGATCTAAAAATTAGTCACACTTTATCAGTATGGTGAGGTGAAGACATGACAGGCATTGCTAAGCAGGTCGGAGTTCGGTCCCCGGGCATGATCACAACCATACTATGATCCTGTTGATCAGCTGCTGTAGTTGAGGGCTGTTCAGGCTTTTCTGTGCTTTGCCTTGGTAAATCTGGTGAAAATTCTTCCTGTTTAGAGCAGCAGCATTTGAGCAGGCATACAAAAACCATGAAACTGAAGAAAACCATAAGGCAACCATTGGCGATGTGGGCCGTTTTGGTGTTTGGTGCAGAGGTAATTTCTTCAGTATAGGCCATATGTATGTTAAAATGTTTGTTGAATTGCTGTTTAGGTGTAAGCGAAGAATATGAACTTTTTAAGTAGCTGATTTAAATTCCAAAGAATGCCTTGTTTGAAAAAAATAGCAGATGTTATAGAATCTTGTAATGTTGAAATGCAAGTTTTGGAAAGGAAAAGACAATGGGACTTGTCAAAGAGTGGAATCCTGGAATTATTAGGCAGAATCAAATCATGTGGGAAACAAAAACAGGAACTCTTTCCTTTTTGCGCCTGATCTGTTCAATTTGGACAGTGACTCTCTTGCTTGTTTGTGCTACTCCGTAATATCCTGTTTAAGAAATACCAAAAATAAATAAGGAACAAATTAAGTTAACAATATAAAATTGTGGCTGGACAACTTCACGATTATACATGCTATGTTTCATTTCTTTCAAATGGATCTTTGCATTGAGTTTGTTCAAATCAAAACATTAAGTGCTGATTTTTGTAACTACTTGTGAGAATAAAGGTTTCCAAAAATGATATAATACCCCTGTTTCCGCGGGTTGTAGGGTAAGAAGTTTCTCATCTTGGTATTGTATGTTATGAAAATTGATATAATACAATTTTAAGTTAACAAAAACGTTCAAAGAAATTGAAAAAATAACATAAATATAGATCTGTTTGAAATAAAAAGAGTACTAATCGTTGAACTAGTAAAAGAAGTAAGAACCTTTAGGCCTTTAACGTTTTGAGAATCTACAATATGATGATGATGGCAACCTTAAGCTGAATCTTGAAGCTAAGTCTGCTGAGGCCCAGGTTTGATGCTTGGAGATTTGCAGTTAAGCTGAAGAAGTAAGAAAGGCGAAACAAAATGAATTAGTTGGGGTTATTTAGTATGGCCACGTACTAGAGCATGCAGACAAGTGTACTTGTTAATAGCTACGCGTGTGAGTTCTTTCTTATTTCTATCAGAAAAAACTTATCTTCAGTTTTCAATAAAGACGAGTTTTGACGTATCTCAGCATTAAGTCATTTAGTTACCTTAACTTAGATTTTCGCAAGGCCACGTACCTTGAGCACATAGACAAGTGTACTTACTAATAGCTACGCGTGTGATATCTTTCTTCTTTCTATCGAAAGAGCTTTTCTTCGACTTTTAATAAAGGCGAGTTTTGACGTGTAGTGTTAAGTCATTTAGTTAGCTTAAATAATTTAGATTTGGTGTCCAAATTTGTTAGTTTGTTAGAAAGAACTACAAAAACCAATTCTTGAAGCTAAAGAAGTAAGAAAGGCTCAGGGCAAAATAAAAATGAATTAGTTGGGGGTTATTAGTGAAGCCACATCCCTCGAGCTTGTGGGCAAATGTGCTTATTAATGCTATGCGTGTGAGTTCTTTCTTACTTTTAAAGAAAGAGCTTTCTTTGATTTTTGTAATAAAGACTTTCTATGTGTATTTAAACTTTGTTCCCAAAATCAGTTAGTTTGTTAGAAAGAACTAACAAACTAAATCTTGAAGCTAAGTCTGCTCAGGCGTTCGATGCTCGGAGATTTGCAGTCAAGTAGAAAAAGTAAGAAAGATTAAGGCCAAAATGAAAATGAAATAGTTGGAGTCACTTTGTCACAAATTCTTTGTGAGGTCACACGCCTTGAACATTCGGACTGTATACCGGTAAAATCGAGCCCGTTGAACATCTCGATTTTCCAGTAAGACAAACGGAGCAGAAACGTGATCGTAAGAAATCAGAATCTGGGCGAGGAGCCTCTCGTATTGGGGTTCGAGCAAAACTTCTGCCCTCAGAGGCATCGGAACCACGTCCTCCGGGTCCGGTTCGAGCCTCAATACTTCGGAGAATATTATCAAACGGCTGCATACGACTAACGAAGAATCGTGATATCCGTGCCCAACCGGATATCACGACGTATATCTCGGCCCGTATCGACAGAAAATCAGTGGTTAGCGAAACAGAAGATTTTTACCTTTTTAGAATTGTACTTAGGGTAAAATTCTCCTACTATATAAAGGAGGAAGAGTATTATTCATGAGACATATGTAACACGCATATCAAGGCAATATACTCCTATTCTTTCTGTTATTCAAAGTTGTTACTTTTGTTCATCAGTTCTTTGTAAGGATAAGCTCGGCCTCGAAGGCAGGCTCCCCATTAAGCCATTTACTGAGTCCGGGATCACTCTTATTATTGGTTTGGCAGTTTATTACGTCTTTTATTTGTTTAATCTAACACCATTAATCATTTGTATTGAATTAATCCGCATATCCTTAAAACCACATATAAATTCAATTGTTATCCGTTTTCGAGGGTAAACAGTTTGACGCCCACCGTGGGGCTAAGGATAATAGTGGCAATTTGATACAAATTCCCATAACACACTCTGCTTTACGCTTGTTCTTTGAGATTTTAAATTCAGGTAAAATTTAAGAATGCCAAACTCTTAATCTGCTCACTTGAATGTTGATGCTGAGTCTGGCCACCATGGCGAGAACAACAATATGGTACCCAGCAACGAGATCCCCCCTGTTGACCTCAACGGGGTCCCAGTCGCAGACCCAATCGATGTCAACTCACATGTGGCCATCGACACAAACTTGTCCACCAACCCAGAGAACAGCGTTCGTGGAGGAGCCAGGTCGGTAGCTTGGGGTACGCACGATGGCAAAGGCGATGGGATCAATTTGCAGGTGATCTTTGAAATGGTACAGGCTCAACAGGTGGCGATAGTCCTGTTATAGAACCAAAGTCACATCCCCAACAGAGCTGAGCATGAACCATCCCGGGAGAACACCCAAAGAAATGAACGAACCTCGGAAAGGCCGGGTGAAGCTGAAGTCGGGGCCAGCCCCGAAATAATAAATATGCTCGAGGAATTGACGAAGCGGATGGAATCGGGGGAAAAGAAGATCGAAACAAACGACAAAAAAGTGGAGACCTATAATTCTAGGGTTGATCAGATCCCAGGAGCACCCCCGATGTTGAAAGGCCCGGATTCTAAGAAATTTGTCCAAAAGCCTTTCCCTCGGAGCGTAGCTCCGAAACCAATCCCAAAGAAGTTCCGTATGCCCGAAATTCTGAAGTACAGTGGAACAACTGATCCAAATGAATGTGTGACCTCCTATACATGTGCCATCAAGGGAAACGACTTAGAAGATGACGAAATCGAATCTGTTTTGCTGAAAAGGTTCGAAGAAATCTTGTCAAAAGGAGCTATGATATGGTATCACAACTTAACCCCTAATTCTATTGATTCGTTTGCTATGCTTGCAGATGTCTTTGTAAAGGCGTATGCCGGGGCCATTAAGGTCAAGACCAAAAATTCAGACCTTTTCAAAGTAAAGCAAAGAGATAACGAGATGCTCAGGGAATTCGTGTCGAGGTTTCAAATGGAACAAATGGATCTGCCTCCGGTCGCGGACGATTGGGCCATTCAGGCGTTCACCCAAGGACTTAACCCCCAAAGCTCATTAGCTTCGCAGCAGTTGAAATAAAATTTGATAGAATACCCGGCGGTAACTTGGGCCGTCATCCATAATAGGTACCAATCAAAAATTAGAGTCTAAGATGATCAGCTCGGGGCCCCTTACGGATACGTGTATCCCGTCAGAACTAGTGACAGATCCAAAAGAGTCATCGATAATGAACCAAGACCGAATAGAGATCGATATCAATCATATAACAGAGATCAAAGAGGTAATGGGACCGGACATAACCCTGCGAGGAGTGAAAAAAAGAACGATCGAGGCCACAATAGTCGGGGACTCATGAGTAAAAATGGTTTCAACAGACCACTCGGAGCGAGGGAGGCACCAAGATTATCGGAATACAACTTCAGTGTCGATGCTGCCAGCATCGTATCTGCCATCGGACACATCAAAGATACTAAATGGCCTCGACCATTGGAGTCTGATCCTGCCCAAAAGGACCCCAACCCAATGTGTAAGTATCATGGCACTCACGGCCACACAACCGAAGACTGCCGACAACTAAGAGAAGAAGTAGCCCGGTTATTCAATAACGGACACCTCCGAGAATATTTCAGTGATCGAGCCAAAAATCACTTCAGGAATAGGAAATCCAACAAGCAGACCGAACAAGAGGAACCCCAGCACTTCATTAACATGATCATTGGTGGAGTCGACGTCCCGCAGGGGAAGATGCTAAAGCGCACTAAGGTGTCCATTACAAGGGAAAAACGGACTCGAGATTATATGCCGTAATGGACCGTATCTTTCAATGACGAGGACGCTGAAGGCATCGTGCAACCACATAATGATGCTCTGGTAATATCTGTACTCATAAATAAATTTCGAGTTAAGCGTGTGTTAATTGATCCAGGTAGCTCGGCCAATATCGTCAGATCGAGGGTCGTGGAACAGCTGGGTCCACAAGACCAAATAGTGCCTATAGTCTGGGTTTTAAACGGATTCAACATGGCATGCGAAACTACTAAAGGGGAGATAACCCTGGTGATGAATACCGCCGGGACCATTCAGGAAACAAAGTTCTATGTGATTGAAGGGGATATGAGATATAATGCCCTATTCGAAAGGCCATGGATTCACAACATGAGGGAAATACCCTCGACACTACACCAGGCATTAAAGTTCCCCACACCGGGAGGAATCAAGACAGTTTACGGAGAACAACCAGCTACAAAAGAAATGTTCGCGGTCGATGAGGTGACTCGATGTCCGCACTCTCGACATCAAAGAACCCAGAGTCGGTTAGGAAGGAAGAAAATAACTAGCAATCACCGACATTGTCCCCAACCGAACCGAAGAAGCAAGAGGCAGGCGAGGATGATGACTACAGAGTTCCTAGGTCGTTCATAGCCCCTGATGATTTCGATGCCACCAAGTAGACGGTCGAGGAACTGGAGCAAGTCGTGTTGATCGAACACTTGCCCGATCGGAAGGTATACCTAGGCACGGGGTCCATGCTCAGGAAAAACTCATTAAATTGCTTATAGCTAACGTGGATTATTTTGCTTGGTCCCATTTAGATATGACAGGGATCCCGCCAGAAGTAACCACTTATAAGCTAAGCTTGGACCCAAAGTTTCACCCGGTTAAATAGAAAATGAGGCCTCAGTTGGAAGTTAAACATGCGTTCATTAAATACGAGGTATCCAAACTCCTTAAAATAGGTTCCATTCGGGAAGTTAAGTACCCGGATTGGTTGGCTAACATAGTAGTGGCGCCTAAAAAGGGAAATAAATTAAGAATGTATGTAGATTACAAAGACTTGAACAAGGCATGCCCCAAGGATTCTTTTCCTTTGCCTAACATCGATCGCATGATCGATGCAATGGCCGGGCATGAGATACTTAGTTTTCTCGACGCCTATTTCTGGTACAACCAAATCCGGATGGACCTGGGAAATCAAGAAAAAACTTCCTTTATAACTAAATTCGGCACCTATTGTTATAACGTAATGTCGTTTGGACTAAAAAATGCCGGTGCCACTTAACTAGTAAACCGGATGTTCAAAGAACAAATAGGAAAATCAATGGAGGTTTACATTGATGACATGTTAGTTAAGTCCTTGTGAGCATAGGACAATTTGAAATATTTACAGGAAACCTTCAACATACTGAAGAAATATAATATGAAGCTGAACCCGGAGAAATGCGCATTCAGGGTCGGGTCTGGAAAGTTCCTCGGATTTATGGTGTCCAACCGGGGGATCGAGATCAATCCCGACAAAATAAAAGTTATAGAGTGGTGGATAGTTTCAAGGCCGTTCAGAGGCTAACCGGGCGCATAGCCGCCTTGGGCCGATTCATATCGAGGTCCTCCGATAAGAGCCATCGATTCTTCTCATTACTAAAGAAAAAGAATAACTTTTCGTGA